CACCAGCACTGCTCCGCGGGGTGGTTGTGCACCACGTGGATGATGCGGCCGGGCGGGTAGAGGGGGGTGCTGGCCGACAGGGCGATGGTCAGGTCGCTGGGGTGGGTCCAGAGCCGCGTGTTGGCCATGGTGGTCACCTCCGCCTCCTCGGGCAGCTCCGACTTGGGGATGCACTTCGTGGCTCCCACGATGATTCGCCACTGCAGGGGGAGGGGGAGACGGGGCCAGCTGAGCAGCATGGCTGGGTGGGCGGGGACGGAGGAGCTCCGATGGAGGGCTCACAGGTGACAGGTGGGAGCTGGGGTGGCCACGGGCAGAGGGGAGGACAGTGCCCATCTGAAGAGGCCGTGTCTGAGCTGGACGGCAGCCATGGCGGCCGCCAAGAAGTCAGGGGCAGACGTAAGCCATTGTTGAGGTTCCGGGTGGGGAAGGCCCTGGAGGACCAGCTGCCCCTGATCTAGCGGGAGGGGAACGGGCCCGGCGAGGGGGAGGGATTGCACCTGCCGGGCCTGGCTGCCTCGGGCTGGTGCCCAGCCCCGACTCCAGGCCCGACAAGTGCCCAGGACGGGGTCTGACAGGGACAGCCACCTCCAGCCCCACAAGCTCCTCCAGGCAGACACCGTCACTGAGACGTCACTGCCCGGCCCACCCTGGTACCTGGCCCTGGTCCCGCCTGCCAGAGGGCCAGGGGCACCGAGGCTGGGAAGAGTCCAACCTGGGCTGAGACGGCAAATGGGATGAGGGCTGGGGGCACAGAGGACCCGCTGGTCCAGGCCGCGGCCCCAGCACTCCCGCCCCTGCCTGGCCACAGGGTCCTCTGAGACCCGAGGAGGGGTGAGGAGGGGCGGGTCACCTCGCTTGGCCGCAGTGGAAAATTGGAGCGAGCTGCACCGACCCTGGGGGAGCACCCACCTGCCGGAGTCGGGGAGCCACGGGTGGCTTTGGGAGGGGCCTTTCTGTCCCACACGAAGCCCCGAGTGGGGCTGCTTTCTCCCGACCCTGGGCAGCTCTGTGGGGCAGGAGCCGGGACCCAGGGCCCGCGGCGGAACACTGACTCAGTTACTACTTGTTGTGTGACCAAAGCAAGTCCCTTGCCCGCTCGTGGCCTCAGTTTCCCCACGTGTACCAGGGCAGGCGGGGGGTGAGCTCTGATGACCTGAGGTGCCCTGGCACCAACCGCACCCCAGTCTGGCCACGTGTGGCTAGGCCGCTGTGCCCGGAGCCCGGGGCCCAGGCGGGAGGGAGGGCTCACTTTGGGCTTGGTGCTCCGCTGCAGGACGTCCAGGAGCTGTCTGCGGAAGCCCTCCAGCTGCGACAGGCCGATCCTGGGAGAGGAACGAGGGGGCGTCAGCCTGGCCTGGCCAGAGGTCGGGAGAGGCACGGGGGAGGGGCAGCGGGGGCAGCGGGACAGGCACATGCCAGCCCTGGAACAGGAAGGCCAGGCTGTCAGGGTCGCAGGGTGGACAGAGGGCCGAGCCAGGCAGGGTGGGTCCTCCAGGCTCGGACACCTGAGGGCACGGAAGGGGCTCTGGCGCCCCTTGTCTGTCGGGGAGACAGGCATCTGAGTGAGGGAGCCCTGGAGCCCAGTGAGACCCCGAGGAGGGAGGAACAGCCCGGCTGAGAGCGAGAGAAGTAGTGACTCGCCTGGGGACAAGGTCTTTGCCCAGAACCACGGCCGTCACAAATTCCTTGGAGTACTCCATGGCGTCCTCACTGCAGGGAAGCAGAGGGCTCAGGTGGGGCGGGACC